TTCAACAAATCAATAGTTGTTTGAAGCATAATATTTGGATTCTTGTTGAACATGCTGAGATGATAATGTAATTATATATTCTTGACCAAGTGGATGAAGATGATTTTCCTTGCTATTTGGATGCCTTTTGACTGTTAATGACACTTCTAATTTCAGTTTTATCAGGTTTATCAAAGGCATTTGTATATTTTCAAATAAGATACTCACACCATCAACCTTGGCTAACTTATTTGAATATATATTACATTCCCGAAGAAATATAGTTTTCACATCTTCCATGTCCTCTACTTTGCACTATATATTTTTCCATGTGAGGGCAACATGCCCTAACTGGAGTAAAAGATTCGTATATAGCATCCCCCCATCAGGTTGAATAAAATAGTAATAAAAATAATTCAACAATATAACACATACATGTCCTTGTGCAATCATATACAATTTCTTTCCGACATAATATACTGTTAAGTATATTATGTACATGCAACAGCATAAACAATACAGCAGTTGATGTCTTTTGGCTAAAAAAGTACATAATATTGGGTATATTTTCAGATGAGTATAAGTGATCATTTTCCTGTTTTTGTTTCCATCGTACATTATATTTGGAAATGCCTATAAAGACATTACATCTTCCTTCTTTATTGTTATCATTGTAGATATCAGCAGAATCACAGCATTTGTTTTCATGTTCATTATTCTCAAGAGTATTAACTGAGGATTGCAAATAGAGAAAACTGCCCTGATCATTCATGTACTTATCAAGCTTTCTTAAAATCACTTAAATTTACTGCCTCTACAACATCTGAAAGCAACCCATTCTAAAGGCCAACCACCCTCTTAGAAAAATAAAACTGTCTTAGCTGAAGATGACTTGAGTTTTAATAACATTTGACATTGTTGTTTTGAGAAATGGCAGTGACAGCTCAAATATCTGCTGTTAATAATTTTGGGTTTAGATTATAATTGATTTTACAATCTTGCTTTTTGTCTCTTGTGGAAATATGATCCTAATATGTCATATGAAATTACTCTTTTTAATTGCTGTCATTACCATTATTTGAACCACTGTCATTTTGTGTATAGAACATTGCCTCATGCCAACTCATTCCTTTTTTCCAAAATATTTGTTTGTTTATTTGAAATTAAGCACAAAGCTACACAAATGGCTATCTGTGCTCTGCCCACCATGGGTATTGAAACCCGGTTTCTAGCATTGTAAGTCCGCAGATATACTGCTGTGCCACTGGGGGCTTTCCAAAATGACCAATTGTTTTTCTCTAGAATATACAATGGAAAGGGCTTCATCTCATAATTCATGACTGCTTAATTCATTCTGTTTTCTTCAATTATTTTATCCATACAATCTTGAATATATAAGTGTTGATCTGTAACTTGAACTCAATAGCCATGCATAACCACTTTTTCTTTGTACTCATGATGCACAAATTCATGATGCATTCCATTACATGATGTCTTACCTTGTTTAAATAATTGAAATGGATTTTTGCATTCCAAACATGTATGAGAAATTTGCTGAAAGCCTGTCACATGAGTGCACTGTAATGCAAATTCAATATTACGATGAGACTCCATCTGATATGTTGTTCAAGTTAATGTTGATTTCAATGGGACTGAAATCATCTCCAGGTTCTTAATGAATATGTTTCAATATTGCCACTGTAACTGATTATTTGATTTAAAATTTCAAAATTGTTGTATAACAAAATCCCACTATCATAATCTACTGTTGTTGCAGCTTTCTTCAATGATAAGTCAGAGTGTTGACTAATTTCAGAAACAAAGATGCACCAATTTGACTATTTGTATCAAAACTTTATTCATAAGATCATCAAATTTTAAATTGATTTCAGATAGCTTTGTCTCTTTTTCATCCAACACAACCATACACTCACCCCAATTAATTAAGAAAGCATCTAAATATCGTAGGAAGATAGAATATATCCCACTAAATAGTTAAGGAAATCCTTAGAGCACCTGGCAACAAGATGCTGTCATGTAACATGTCAATAGACTTTGAAAGCATTTAGTTTTGCTGATGTAAAAGGTTTACAACCAAAGATAACATTGCAATTGACCTTCTGTAACACATTTTACACTGGAACATGATTGTACAAGGAACACAGTTATGACAATAACACTTTCCATTGCACTTGCAGTTATTCACTTGGAAGTTGTATTTGTGTTTCACCCTTCCTTTTTTGTCAATCTTGTATTGCAACTACCTACTTTTTGAGTAGTTCAGGATGAATAGGATAAATGAACAGAGCTGGGCAAGTAGTAATATTTGCTAATCAATTAACAGATGGGTTCATTAATCAATTAGTAAACCACACCCCCTACAGTCCATATAAGCAAAGAGAAAAAAGTATGGATGTGTCATTACCATGTTGACTTTTCCAATCATTATTCTAACATGGTATTACATTTCTTTTTTTTTTAAGTAATTATAGAAATACCCTCGATTCCATATGATAGATCTCTTCTGAAAGTCACCATTCATGCCCTTTGTAAAGAACATATTTTATGTTTAAAAAATATTTTCCCAAAAGTTTTATGGACATTTCCTAATTGGCAAATAAATAGCTAATATTGACTACATATTCACCATTATGTTTGTTTTTAAAATATACAGTAATCACCTTGATCTAATGTAAATCAAACAAATGGATAATTAAATAATGAAAACATGTTTTACTCTCACCAATATGTGTAATAATGATTTTATTTATAACATGTCATGATTGCAATTGCAAGTAATTAAGTAGCAAGTTAGCCAATTTATTTATGTATGGTTTTTAAATGGAATAAACATAAAAATAATATTTAATAAAGGTGTGAGTCATCAAAATATTTTGCAATTGCCTACCACACTAAAAAGCAAACTTATCTGATTTGATTACAATTTTATTTTGTGAACATAATAACAAAAAAAATTTTTATAAACATTTCAACTCAATAAATTCATAGCACACCGTAATTTTAAACCAAGAACCAAACATCAAGATACCTTTACTAAGCCTTAAGCAGTCTACAGTCATGCGACTTCTGTGCTTAATCCTGTATATACATACATATATTCCTGTGTCTAGTTAGATTACTTAAACCTGATGGTGACAAAACCTTATCCAAACATTGCACATTTGTTACTGTGTAAAAAAAGTTTTATAAAGTTTTCTTTGTTACCCATTCACCCTGTCTCTAAACTGTATATAAGCTTACCTACCTTATCTCACTGTTGGATATACAAGATTGTTCAATTTAAGAGTTATCATACATTAATATTTAATGATTATTTAATTTTCATAACAAGAGGGTTAAAAGTTAATTATTATAAAAGTAATAGTTATGACAAGTTTCATTATGTAACTGTGTACGAGTTGTACATTGTGTATGCAGTTTAATTGTTGTACTAGGCTTTTGTAATATTGTTGATGTCATCTTACTCGAAGATTCTAAGTTTTAAAGAAGTTTCTAAGAAATGAAGCTAGTGAAAGTAAAAGAGAAAAAAGTGAAGTTAGACTGTGT